ACGCCTGCTGCTGCTGTATATTTGAAGTCTGCGTCTCTCTCTCTCATCATCATCATCACGGTGGCTATGAGATGTTGACTACCTCGCCTGGTCCGCAGGAGGTCGTGGGTTCGATCCCGACCCTGACGCCTGCTTCTGCTGTATATTTGGAGCTTGTGTCTCTCTCATCATCATCATCACGGTGGCTATGAGATGTTGACTACCTCGCCTGGTGTGCAGGAGGTCGCGGGATCGATCCCGGACCCTGACAATGCACACAGACACACACAGACACATAGAAACACACACAAAGACAGACACACAGACAGACACATGGATACACACAGACACACACACATAGATACACACACATACACACACAGACAGACACACGCAGACAGACACACAGACACACACAGACAGATAGACACAGATACATAGATACACACACAGACACACATAGATACACACACACATACATAGACACACAGACAGACACATGGATACACACAGACACACACATACACACACACACAGACACATAGAAACACACACAAAGACAGACACACAGACAGACACATGGATACACACAGACACACACACATAGATACACACACAGACAGACACACGCAGACAGACACACACACACAGACAGACACACACACACAGACACATAGATACACACACACAGACAAAGACAGACACAGACAGACACACATAGATACACACACACAGACACACACAAAGACAGACAGACACATGGATACACACAGACAAACACACATAGATACACACACACACAAAGACACACACACAGACAAACACACACAAAGACAGACAGACACATAGATACACAGACAGACACACACACACAGACAAACACACACAAATACAGACAGACACACACACAGACACACACATAGACACACACACTCACACACACAGACAGACACACACACACAAAGACACACACACAGACAGACACACACAGACAGACACACACACACACAAAGACACACACACAGACACACACACAGACAGACACACAGACACACACACAGACACACACACAAAGACAGACAGACACATGGACGGACGATGGTGGACTGAGCCGTGGTGGTCGCGACGTTTCGGGCACGGACCTGGAAATAATTGACACCCGCGGTGTGAGGGAGGGAAGACCATCACAGACAATGAGTCGAAAGCAAAAGTAATATTTATTAAATATCCCTCCAAAATAAAACAATCATCTTTATCATCATCAACAAATCCTCTAGCAATGCACACTTAAATCCTTAATATCCGTGGTGTGTATATATAATGCATAAGTGTCAATATATCACACGCACGCGTGTGCATGTGTATGTGTCTGTGTGTGTGTCTGTGTGTGTCTGTGTGTGTGTCTGTCTGTCTGTGTGTCTGTCTGTCTGTTTGTCTATGTGTCTCTGTCTGTGTGTGTTTTTGTGTCTCTTGTGTCTGTGTCTTTGTGTGTCTGTATGTGTTTGTGTGTCTGAGGCTTTGTGTGTCTGTCTTTGTGTCTGTGTGTCTCTGTCTGTGTGTCTCTGTCTGTGTGTGTCTGTGTCTTTGTGTCTGTGTGTCTCTGTCTGTGTGTCTGTATGTGTCTGTGGCTTTGTGTGTCTGTGTGTGTATGTGTGTGTCTGTGTCTTTGTCTTTGTGTCTATGTGTGTCTGTGTCTTTGTGTCTGTGCGTGTCTGTGTCTTTGTGTCTGTGTCTCTGTATGTGTGCATCTCTGTGTCTGTGTCTTTGTGTCTCTGTCTTTGTGTGTGTCTGTGTCTTTGTGTATGTCTGTATCTTTGTGTCTGTGTGTGTCTGTGTGTCTGTGTGTCTGTGTGTCTGTGTCTTTGTGTGTGTCTGTGTCTCTGTGTCTGTGTGTCTGTGTCTGTGTGTGTCTGTGTATTTGTGTCTGTCTTTGTGTCTGTGTCTGTGTGTCTCTGTCTGTGTGTGTCTGTGTCTCTGTCTGTGTGTGTCTGTGTCTCTGTCTGTGTGTGTCTGTGTGTCTGTCTGTGTGTCTCTGTCTGTGTGTCTGTGTCTTTGTGTCTGTGTGTGTGTCTCTGTCTGTCTGTGTCTTTGTGTCTCTGTATGTCTGTGTGTGTCTGTCTGTGTGTCTGTGTGTCTCTGTTTGCGCGTGCGTGCGTGTGCGGTATAAATGCCGTGGGGTTTTTTTGGGGAGGGAGTTCAAGATTTTCTTTACAAGAGAGAGGAGAGAGAGAGGAGAGAGAGAGGAGAGAGAGGCAAGGGTTTGGGGGGATCGCTGCGTGTGGGAATTTAATAATTCAGTCGCGGTACAAATGACACAGACAACGAGGAGAGGTGCTTGCGCGTGTTGAATTGTGACCATTTGTCACGCCGAGTCCACGAGAGATGGGGGGGGTGGTGCTGTTGGGTCCAGTGCCGGATGAAGCTAGAGCAGGTCCTGTAGCATTTGCTGTTACTCTGGTCAACACACTTTTTTCTGGCACGAGGTATTCCAACGGTTTTAATGTAATTTTGGGGTGCCGATTCCAAATTTGGCATCAGTCTATCACATCAGGTTTTTGAGATATCAAAGATTGCATTTTCAATAAGAACTGCGGAAGAAAAATATTAAATAAATGTGGATATCTACATGAAATTATATTATAAACACACTATGCTAAAAATGCAGCACCATGTTTTAACACTAAAGCAGTCACTACCTCGCAACAGCTTGCAATCATAAGTGACGGAGTTAATTTCGAGTAAAATAATTGAAAATGGGGTATGCCGATAGCATAAAAATGAGATGTGATGGAGCAAATCTGAGGTCAGATTTGGAATCGGCACCCTGAAATTAGTCTAGAACAACTGCAAAAGTCCAGGCCAGAAAAAAAAGTGTTTTTTTTGTTGACCGGTGTTACAGATTTGAGAGAAAAAAATATTAAAAGACAATTTGTTTTTAAATTTTGTTCAAATTTTCTTGCCGTGTTTTTCACACCTGATGATGATTGCTTGTGTTGCAAATACTCACGTCGTGAGCATTTTATCGTTTTAGAATTTTTTTATTATTTTATTGTTTCCCTTCTACGTGACTTTACCGAAAGAACCGAGAATATGAATCCCTGCAGATACGAAAGCTGTAAATCAAATTTAGTTTTTTTTTTTACTTGCGTAGTAAAGTATTTTTTTAATGTTTTCATTTGCTATACAGCCGGATGGATAAGACGAATCGGTAACCTTAAACACCGCGGTCGTTCGTAAAAGCTGAAGGGCAGTATAGTACTATAGCAATAGAGCAAGTGCAGAATCACCGAACCGAAATTGAGTGCTACTAGGCTAATGAGACATTGTTACGTAGCATTAGTAGCTACTTGTGCTACTAGGATAATGAGACACTGATAAGTAGAATGTGTAGCTACTTGTGTTACTAGGATAATGAGACACTGACAAGTAGCATTAGTAGTTACTTGTGCTACTAGGATAATGAGACACTGACAAGTAGCATTAGTAGCTACTTGTGTTACTAGGATAATGAGACACTGACAAGTAACATTAGTAGCTACTTGTGTTACTAGGATAATGAGACACTGACAAGTAACATTAGTAGCTACTTGTGTTACTAGGATAATGAGACACTGACAAGTAACATTAGTAGCTACTTGTGTTACTAGGATAATGAGACACTGACAAGTAACATTAGTAGCTACTTGTGTTACTAGGATAATGAGACACTGACAAGTAACATTAGTAGCTACTTGTGTTACTAGTGTAGTGACAGAACGGTCACTACTGTGTTGGCCCGTACGAGGGCTGGGGGCCCCAAGGGGGTGCCTGGGGGGGTCACGTGCTGGAGGGATCCGGACCTTCCCAGAGGTGGGGGAAGTGAGGCGTGGCCTGGGAAGTGAGGCGTGGCCTGGGAAGGGAGGCGTGGCCTGGGCGGAGCCGGCCACGCCAGAGAGACGAGATATAAGGTTAAGTATGCCAAAAACGGCATTTTAATCAAATACATGGCATACTAAGGATAAATACAATAGAGAAATTAACTTTCGTCCAAAAATAAAGCTGTCAAAAGTTTGGCTTATTGAGCCTAAAAACGGTACAGTATGCCGATTAACTTTTTTATATTCGAAAATTTCATGCATGAAATTCCCCACTTTTTAATGTAATATATGGGCTACTCAGGCTAAACACAACCAAGGAATGCACTTTTTGTTTAAAAATAAAACTAGAAAAATTGGGCCAATTTTTCCAAAAACGGCATAGGTTAATTATGCTGATTTTTTATGGACGTGACAATTTCATCGTGACATGTCGCCAGCGGTGTGCTGGAGAGCCAAGCCACGACATCCACAAAGTGCTGCTCATAGCGAGTAGCAGCACCGGTGGAGGTCGTCACGGCACACACAGAGGGGGTGGGTGGCCAGCACCACGCCCGGCCGCCTTTGTCTCCCCAGTGCTGGCGATGTTGACACACCGCACCGGGGAATCGTTTGAGGCTGAGTCGACGTAGGGGAGGCCCAGGACCGGTTCGGAAAGTCGTCACTGGCGGCGTTGGCCACGAGCGGGAATGGAACTCGGCTGGTCGGTGCGGAGCGCAGCGCTCACCACGACACTGCCGCTCCACTTCTGTCAACAAACTTGAACTCTGACCCCGCCCTCTGACGTCACCGCGCAGCGTGACCTCATCGGCGTCAAACGCCAGGGGGAGGTGTGCCTCGCTAGTGACGTCATGTCACCCACTCCCGACCGTGAAGCTCTTGAGCGTGACGTCACCTCCGGCCGCTGCCGATATCTGTTCCAGTGCCAATCCTTATTTGGGCAAAGCCACGCCCGGTGACTGGGGGCTCATTAACATAATTTATTCGCGAAAGCCGTCGCGAGTTCATTGCGACGTGTTCAGCAGCCCCGCCCCGTCCCTCCACGTGTGGGCGGGGCTCATTAACATAATTTATTTAAGTTACAGAGCCGCTCTGTGGGAGGGGCTTGTACCCCGGAAGTGACGTCACGGCCTGCAACCGCGTGGCTGTTGCATCTCCGCGCGTGAACTGAAATCCGAGGTGAGAAATTCCCATCGCGGTTGTGGTGGTGGTTGTTGTGGTGGTGGTTGTTAAAGTTGTGGTGGTTGTGGTACTGGTGGTGGTTGTTGTGGTGGTGGTGGTTGTTGTGGTGGTTGTATTGGTGGTGGTGGTTGTGGTGGTAGTGGTTGTGGTAGTGGTGGTTGTGGTGGTGGTTGTATTGGTGGTGGTGGTTGTTGTGGTGGTTGTGGTGGTGGTTGTATTGGTGGTGGTGGTTGTTGTGGTGGTTGTATTGGTGGTGGTGGTGGTTGTGGTCGTGGTGGTGGTGGTGGTGGTTGTGGTGGTTGTTGTGGTTGTTGTGTACCGAGGTAGAGCCTCGCTCTCTCTCGTAGGGATGTCAATTGAGTAGCAGCGAGCATCGAAGCGATGTCCAGATTTAAACTTTACAACGCGGGGCCTTGCCTCCTGCCCTCGCCTGGTCGCGTTCGCTTCAATTCTCTCGCTTAGTTGAGCAACCTGTGGAAGAACGCGATCAGCCAGGCGATGCGTTCGTTGTGTGTTGACCGACTCTCTGTGTTGTATTGCATTACATTTCCAAATTTTACGAAGTTTGTTTGATTAAGTGTCTCTCTCTCTCTCTGTGTCCTCTACTGCAGTCACCAAACCTCCAAATCTCTCATTGACACAAAGTCGTAATTATATGTTATAATAATTATAACATGTTCTAATAAATATATCTTATAATAAATATAATATGTTATAATAAATATAACATGTTATAATAATTTTAATATGTTATACTAATTATAATATATATTCTTGGTTCTTTCGGTAGTCACGTTTTATTTTATTATTTCCCTTCTACGTGACTTTACCGAAAGAACCAAGAATATGAATCCCTGCAGTCACGAAAGCTTTAAATCAAGATATAATGATATGTTATAATAATTATTATATGTTATGATAATTATAAAATGTTATAATAATCAAATATGCTAAAGATGTCCCCCCCCCCAATATATTGCTATAAAAACATTTTTTAAAATAATAATTAGCGATGCTATGTTAATAAAAACAACAATTTGCTAAACCTTGGCCACAAAATCTGGACTTGTCTTCATATAACAATACATAGATTTCTGTTTATAGGATTGCGTTGTACTTTATGAATCCCTAATCTCTGCCATTACATACTATGAAACAAGAAAAGGTTAAAAAGAAAAAACAGAGCAATGTATTACAATACACTATTAGACATTATTGTATCAAATAAAACAAAGTCCATCCCATGTGCTAGTGAACTTTTAAAAATATTTTAGGGAGGAAATGGCAGGAAAATCGTTTTCAAATTTAGATATTTTTCTGGGGGGGGGGGACCCCAGACCCGTGGAAGATTTGGTCCCCCCCAATGTTGACTCCATGGCTACGGCCTTGCATTGACGTGCTAGTTTCTATACCCCCCCCCCCCTCTCTATATTTAAGGCCTCAACACAGAGGCGTTGTTTCTCTGTGTGCCTATGTGTGTCTCTCTCTGCGTGTCTCTGTGTCATCTCTCTCTGTGTGTCTATGTGTGTCTCTCTCTGTGTGTCTGTCATGTCTCTGTGTGTGTCTCTGTGTCTCTGTGTCATTTCTCTCTGTGTGTCTATGTGTGTGTCTCTCTCTGTGTGTCTTTGTGTCATCTCTCTGCTTATGTGTCTGTCTATGTGTCTCCGTGTCTCTCTCTCAAATTGAGCAATCTTTGGAAGAACGTTATCAACCAGGTAGGGTGTTGACTTATGTTAGATGACTCTAAGTTTAATAGGTTTTTTCTCTCTTTCATTTGTGCATGATGATGATTGCTTGTGTTGCAGTTGAAACGTCGTATGCTATTATATAATGTATTTATTTATTCTATGTGACTTTACCGAAAGAACCAAAGAATATCTTGCTTAAGTTTTAATTTCCCTTCACCTGGCTCGCTACTTTGTAACTTGTTTTGTTTTAAATATTCACAGTTTTTTTTCATTTTTTACCAGGCCACGCCCGCTTGAGCTGCTGTACCGCTCTTGTTTTCAGAAGCGACCTGCCCACAACAACAATAACAACGAGGTGAGGCTCGTCAACAGCGTGGTGGTGTTCACTCTAGACGTGTGGCGGTGTTCACTCTAGACACGTGGTGGTGTTCACTCTAGACGTGTGGCGGTGTTCACTCTAGACGCGTGGCGGTGTTCACTCTAGACATGTGGCGGTGTTTACTCTAGACGTGTGGCGGTGTTCACTCTAGACATGTGGTGGTGTTCACTCTAGACACGTGGCGGTGTTCGCTCTAGACGCCTGGCGGTGTTCGCTCTAGACGTGTGGTGGTGTTCACTCTAGACACGTGGCGGTGTTCGCTCTAGACGTGTGGCGGTGTTCACTCTAGACACGTGGTGGTGTTCACTCTAGACGTGTGGCGGTGTTCACTCTAGACACGTGGCGGTGTTCGCTCTAGACGCGTGGCGGTGTTCGCTCTAGACGTGTGGCGGTGTTCACTCTATAGACGCGTGGCGGTGTTCGCTCTAGACGTGTGGTGGTGTTCACTCTAGACACGTGGCGGTGTTCACTCTAGACACGTGGCGGTGTTAACTCTAGACACGTGGCGGTGTTAACTCTAGATGCGTGGCGGTGTTAACTCTAGATGCGTGGCGGTGTTCACTCTAGACATGTGGCGGTGTTCACTCTAGACATGTGGCGGTGTTCACTCTAGATGTGTGGCGGTGTTCACTCTAGACGCGTGGCGGTGTTCACTCTAGACACGTGGCGGTGTTCACTCTAGACACGTGGCGGTGTTCACTCTAGACGTGTGGCGGTGTTCACTCTAGACACGTGGCGGTGTTCACTCTAGACACGTGGCGGTGTTCACTCTAGACACGTGGCGGTGTTAACTCTAGATGCGTGGCGGTGTTCACTCTAGACATGTGGCGGTGTTAACTCTAGATGCGTGGCGGTGTTCACTCTAGACGCGTGGCGGTGTTTACTCTGGACGCGTGGTGGTGTTCACTCTGGACGCGTGGTGGTGTTCACTCTGGACGCGTGGCGGTGTTCACTCTAGACATGTGGCGGTGTTAACTCTAGACGCGTGGCGGTGTTCACTCTAGACGCGTGGCGGTGTTTACTCTGGACGCGTGGTGGTGTTCACTCTCTACATGTGGAGGGGTAACCCGAGGATCGGGAAGGAAATCCACGCGACCACGGGGAGAGAGAGAGAGAGAGACACGTAAACTACAAATATACAGCAGGCGTCAGGGTCGGGATGGAACCCACGACTTCCTGTATGCCAGGACAGGTAGTTAACATCTCACCACAGAGAGACACGCAGCCTCGGCTGTGTTGGTTGATCCTCGATGAATTACTTGGTGGAGTGAGGAAGCATTAATACTGAGCAGGTGAAGGTGGCCAGGCGTGGGTCTGGACACACCACCACCTGTGAGTCATGCCAGTGTGACAGTGGTGGAGCCAGTGGGGGTGGGGTGGCACGTGCCCCCCCAACGATCCGATAGAAATCCGTAATTTCGATAGGATCATTGGGGTTTATTAGTAACTAGCTTCACTACCCGGCTTCGCCCGGGACTTGGATTCTTGTCTTGGATTAATTTAATATTCCCTCATAATTCAATGAAAAACCCTGAAAAAATTGATGCTTGCAAGAAGGAAGCCGAAACACTTCAATTTACCTAAATCGGATGTTTTCACTCAAGGAAATTCAACCTGAACCCACTGCTACGTCAGGTCGATTTTTGCCACTCGGGAAGGGAATGACGCTGCGTTCGCTTAGAAATTCCAGACAGCATAAGCTGTGAAAATTTCATGACGCCAGAGCTCAGCGTTGGAGAGTTTTTGCTGCTTCACACAAACAAACAGGTGTAAGTTCTGCTTTATATTTAAGATGACAGTTGTACCCGTTCTTCGCACGGATTAGTATTGAAACTCCGAGAAGCCATTGACTTAATCGGCCAGGAGCGAAGCGCCACCTAAAATCTCCCGGCACTCTGTGAACAGCTGTAGAAGTACGGCGCGTGAAGAGCCATGTGGTAGGGGGGTAAGCATTGCAGAGCGCTTAGCTCAGGTGTGATGTGGGTTGATGCCACATACTTCATGGTCATTTCCCCCCCCTCCCCCCCCCCAAAATACAAAAGTCTATTTTTCTTTCCTGAAGGCATCAACACGTTCAGCGAGTGCGATGACGATCACACGCATCGAATGAAAAGCAAGGGACAAGTCCTTTCTTACTAACAACTCCTTACTTGCTAACAACTCCTGTAACTTTTTCATTGCTGGAGGGGTTTCCCCCCCCCTACCTGAAAATCCTGGCTCCACCTCTGAGTGTGTGACAGTGTCAAGTTTGTATTTGCAGTAAAGTCTATTAACTCTATTGAGCACGGAGGTTATATCACAAAACAGTAGTTTATTTTAGTTTTCCTCTGGAACTCTTTGTAAGAATGGAGTCAGGAAGTGATCACAGCACACACGTGCAGCAGCTGAAGTTGGAACTGCTCATCCCAGGAATCAAGGACATCTGTGCCTGGCTTCACACCTCTAAGTTGCGATTGAACATTAATTTATGCATTTGTGCATAACACAAATAGTATTATTTTCAACACCCTTTGCTTTGTCAGCTAAATTTAGCTTTCATAAACATTTATTTTGAAGCCAAACAGCTGAAATTGTGTGCTCTGAGTTTTGGGTTTACGTTCATTTTGAAGATACGAGGGCTTCCAGGCACGTTTATGACCATTTGGCCTCTCATTGTGTGCCATAACAGCCCGTGTGATGAATTTGGGACACTTTTTTTTTACTATATCATAAATATATGAATAACTATAGACGTGTAAGTCACGTGTGACTGTATATTCATTCCTCTGTGCCTCGATACTGACGTGTAGATGGTGTGGATATTCTTCTTTTTCAGTCTGCAGCTGTCGCTGCCTCTGCAGAATTGGTCTCATGGAGGAAAGGCACTCGGCGCAGCTCGGTGCAAAAAGGCATCAATGCGACCGGTGTGCATACAGCACGGATCGTCCTGAACATTTGACACGGCACCAGAGAACTCACACAGGAGAGAAACCCTTCAAGTGCAGTGTGTGTGGGAAGGCGTTTGCACAGTCATCTAATCTTGTAGCACACCAGAGAACACACATGGGAGAGAAACCCTTCAAGTGCAGTGTGTGTGGGAAGGCGTTTGCACAGTCATCTACTCTTGTAAAACACCAGAGAACACACACGGGAGAGAAACCCTTCAAGTGCAGTGTGTGTGGGAAGGCGTTTGCACAGTCATCTGCTCTTGTAACACACAAGAGAACACACACGGGAGAGAAACCCTTCAAGTGCAGTGTGTGTGGGAAGGCGTTTGCACGTTCATTTGCTCTTGTAGCACACCAGAGAACACATATGGGAGAGAAACCCTTCAAGTGCAGTGTGTGTGGGAAGACGTTTGCACTTTCAGCTCATCTTGTAGCACACCAGAGAACACACACGGGAGAAAAACCCTTCAAGTGCAGTGTGTGTGGGAAGGCTTTTGCACAGTCATCTACTCTTGTAAAACACCAGAGAACACACACGGGAGAGAAACCCTTCAAGTGCAGTGTGTGTGAGAAGGCGTTTACACTTTCACGAAATCTTCAAAGACACCAGAGATCACGCAAGCATCAGAAGATCCACCAGGAGTGGAGTCTGAAATCAGCTTGTGAAAGTCAAAGTGCCTCAATGAGCCCATTCCTCATCAAACAAGAACCGGAAGAAAATCCCAGCTTGGACACTTTTAAAGGTATCGAGGTGAAATGTGAAGAAGTGATGGTGAAGAGCCAAGAAGTGAAGGTAAAATGTGAAGATGAAGATTCAACTCCAAAATGGGACCTTCACATCGATGGAGGCAACGTGAAGCAGGAGGAGAATTCTGACTGTGAGGCAGAGCGAGGCAACTCCCAGCAGTTTGTGGAAGTGGAGGTGTGGGTGGACTTCCTCCGAGACAATACAAAGTCAAATGGAGACCCGGTAGATGTGTAAGCCAGTGACGATGTCGCTCCAATAGATGCACCTTTGTCACAGGCCTTTAATGACAAGAATGTGAAGTTGAACACTCAATTGCTAGGTTCAACCTGCAGGTTAAGAGCGGCCAGTCTTTGTGGACCTGTGTGTTGGGTAGATCTCTAACCAGGAGCGAGAGCCAATAAGCTCCCAAGCATTCACTATGTTATCATAATTGCATTTATATTGTGCTTGCTTAATTGCCTCGGCAATTCGTGAGTTTTGTATCGTTTCTCGTCTCAAACACTCGAAGAGCATCCCAAGTAGCAGCTGCCCCTGTGTGGCACAAGGTGGTGGCCCTGCACCGGCCTGCATGTGGACAAGAGCCTGGCAGTAGGGGGCGATGGTTGATGTGGCATCTCAGTTGTGGAGTTTGTAGGTAATGTTTAGAATTTTTTCAATTTTGACCCAGACGCCAGCATGCAATGGCCTACTCGTTTTGAATGGTGCATTAGTATGTTGTACATACACTGTTAAGCAGACGGTGCGTATTTTTTTTAATTAGCTTGTTAATGCGATGTAACCTAATGCAGTATATTTCAGTGCAGTCATTCAATTTTGTTAATATGCCTGTCACGAATTTAGAATTAATACTTGTCTGATGGTGTGCGTACATGTAACCTTTTGTCTACAAGAGTCAAACATTGAATAAGTGATGTTAGGACACAGTGTGTGTTTTGCAAGTAACCTGTACAGATCACTCAGGTGAGACTCATTGTTCTTGTGATACAGGTCAAAGGGTACTTTTGTGTTTTCAGGAAGCATCTCCCTCAGGAGAAACTCATTGTCTTTAAAATAGGGAGCACACTCGGATCATTCATCTGTTACAAGGCATAGCACTCAAAAGTTAGACGTAGTGTAGATACATTCTCTACAACTTGAATTATAATTTGGTATTATGTGTTGACGCAAATTTCGTCTCACTAGGGCTAGAAATGCTCCTTACTGATGAACGTCTGGATGTTTGCAGCTATCGGTTGAAGCAAGCCCGGCTGCTCTTGAAACGCTGTGCACCAATAAGGGTCCACAGGTGGCTTGCACTGAATCAATGACGTGCTCCCAGAAGTCTGTGCTAGTTATAGTTTGTGTAAAACATTCCTTTGTTTCGTGGAGAGATCGATAAATGAAACATGTCGTGTCTGCTGATCTGCTTCATAGCAAGGAGGTAATTCTAAGAGCCTATTTGAAATACATTTTTGGTACAGATTTGTATTTGGTTACAAGGCAGAGCACATCTAGTAGATACATTCTGCACAATTTTGCATGACGTCTTATATGTTCGCGAACTAGGACAAGAAATGGTCCTTGCTGATTAACGTCTGGATGTTGACAACCATGGGGTTGAAGCAAGCCTGACTGCCTGCGGTGCCCCTCACAACCATTTACGGCCTTGGGCCAGGAAAGTCACGAAAAAATTGCACACGAACGATGCATTCACGCCAACTCCCGATGCTCCGTTTTGAAGTTTTAAAATGAAACAACTTTGAATTGTATATTGTTTTGCATTTGATAATTGTATTTCTTCATTAAAAGCTGATATCATTTTCCATCTGGAAGACTTCATTGAAAACGACATTTCGTGTGAATTTTCTCTACTCGTTAAGTAGATGGCCTTACCGGGGTTCGGTTCGATGCGGACTTTCTCCTGGTTGGGATCGCGGGGTGGAGATAAGGCGACACAGAGCTGGCCGTGCCAGAAGACCGCCGTCTGCAGATTGATTCCAACGTGATTGAACGTCTGTCGCTGCTCCTCCGTCGTTCATGCAGGGGGCGCGTAGGTTTGCAGCGCCCCCTGCATGAAAACTAAGGAAAGTGCAGCGTTCATCACAGATAGATGAAGTTGTGCGCTTATATAAGAGTACTCGCGGGAAGTACCCGGTGTGAAATTTCCCACCTTTTATCGTAATATATAGGATACTAAGGCTAAGCACACCCGAGGATTGCACTTTTGTTGAAAAATGAAGTTGCAAATATTTGTCCATTATTGGCCAAAAACTGCATAGGTTAGTATGCCGATATTCTATATTGGGACGTGCACATTTCATCATAAAATGTTCCACTTTTAATCTAATACACGGCATACTAAGGGTAAATACAATTGATGAATGAACTTTTTGTTGAAAAATGAAGCTATGACAATTTGGCTTATTTTGGTTAACCGGCATAAGTACCTGATTTTTCTTTTGGGACGTGAAAATTTAATCGTGAAATTTCCCACTTTTAAAGTAATATAGAGCATACTAATGCTTAACAAAATGGAGGAATTCACTTTTTCTTGGAAAATCTAGCTATGAAAATGTAGCAAATTTGGCCAAGAACGGCATTGGTAAAGTATGCCGATTTGATCCTTTTACTTCAAATTTCATGGTCAAATTTCCCACTTTTAATGTAAGATATAGGCTAATCATGCTCAACACAACCGAGGAATGCACTTTTTAATTTAAAATACAGCTGTAAAAATTCGTTCAATTTTATCCAAAAACGGCAGAGGTTTAGTATGTCGATTTTCTGTTTGGGACATGAACATTTCATCGTGAAATTTTCCAATTATAATCTAATACATAGCATACTAAGGCTAAACACAATGGAGCAATGAACCTTTGTCGACAAATAAGGCTGTGAAAGTGTGGCCAATTTTGGCCGATTTTATTTTTTTACTTAAAAATTTCATGGTGAAATTTACCACTTTTTTACGTAATAATAGGATACTAAGGCTAAGCACACGCGAGGATTGCACTTTTGTTGAAAAATGAAGCTGTAAAAATTTGGCCATTATTGACCAAAAACGGCATAGGTTAAGTATGCCAAAAACGGCATTTTAATCAAATACATGGCATACTAAGGATAAATACAATAGAGAAATTAACTTTCGTCCAAAAATAAAGCTGTCAAAAGTTTGGCTTATTGAGCCTAAAAACGGTACAGTATGCCGATTAACTTTTTTATATTCGAAAATTTCATGCATGAAATTTTCCACTTTTTAACGTAATATATGGGCTACCCAGGCTAAATACAACCAAGGAATAAACTTTTCGTTGCAAAAAAAGCTAAAAAAATTTGGATCGATTTTGCCAAAAAACGGCCTAGGTTCGTATGGCGATTTTCCTTTTATGGACGTGAAAATGTCATCGTGAAATGTCGCCAGCGGTGTGCTGGAGAGCCAAGCCACGACGTCTACAAAGTGCTGCTCATAGCGAGTAGCAGCACCGGTGGAGGTCGTCACGGCACACACAGAGGGGGTGGGTGGCCAGCTCCACGCCCGGCCGCCTTTGTCTCCCCAGCGCTGGCGATGTTGACACACCGCACCGGGTACTCGTTTGAGGCTGAGTCGACGTAGGGGAGGCTCAGGACCGGCTCAGAAAGTCGTCACTGGCGGCGTTGGCCACGAGCGGGAATGGAACTCGGCTGGTCGGTGCGGAGCGCAGCGCTCCCCACGTCACTGCCAACTACAACAAACTTGAACTCTGACCCCGCTCTCTGACGTCACCGCTCAGCGTGATCTCATCGGCGTCAAACGCAACGGGGAGGTGTGCCTCGCTAGTGACGTCATGTCACCTACCCCGACCCCCGTCCTCTTGAGCGTGACGTCACCGCCGCTCGGCCGCTGCCGATATCTGTCCCAGTGCCAATCCTTTTTTGGGCAAAGCCACGCCCGGTGACTGGGGGCTCATTAACATAATTTATGAATCATATTCTTAGGTGTTTTCGGTAAAGTCACGTAGGTAAAACATCAAAATTAATAAAAATAAAAAAATAAAGATCACGACGTTTCGGAGGCAACACAAGTCTCCGTCATCAGGTGGGACAGTCACAGCCAGATCAGCTGCATCAAGTGAGGCAATGATTCAAGATGTAATCCCTTAAAAGCGAGTTGAGGGGGGAGGAGAGGTGGGGGGGCTCATCAGAATGTGGTAGCCAATGAATAGAAAGTATCGGGAGAGAGGGGCCAAAAAAAGGGGGGTGGGCGACGGCGTGGAAGCGATTGTGCGCAAGTGACACACTGCTGCCCACGCCAACGCATTGGACAGAGAGGGGGGAGGGGGGAGGTCTGATACACATGATAGAAAAGAAAAGAAAATGCGTATGTTTATACCAATGCTGGCTGAACAATGAAGAGATTACTGTTAAACACTGGGGATGTTAACACTCGGTAAAGTAAACTAGTGCCTGTCAGATAAGATGGTCAAAAAGTGTAATTAAGTCTTTTTTGCGTGGTTAATAACATCTTTCCAATGATTACTGAGTTTGTACCCATCATCACGGTTGAAATTATGTCTGTGTTTGTATATTTGTATGGCTTCGTGTACAAACCTTTGATGGTAGCCAGGAGGTTTGCAGAGAACCTTGGTCTCGGAAAAGTTGTGGGGGCCGTTGGCCCCCGGGGTCCCTCCCGCCTGCATCCCCTATTCCGTTTACGTTACCCCACCTCCCTATTCACTGTTTGGTGCCCGCGGAGGTTCGCTGCTCTCTGCGCTAACAGCGTACCTCGGTGCGTCGCACGGACGTCCGGGTCGCTGGCTGGAAGTCCTGCTGGTCCGCTGGCCTGGAGAGAAGGGAGCTATTTTCCCTCTGCGCCCCTCTATTTATCCTCCCTACCTTCAAGGGGATGCTGCGCTAAACAATGGGCTCGCGATCCTCTGGCACGCGCACGGCGGTTCTGGGTGCTGTTGATATGCTAATCAGTGTGCCGCGTGCAAGGCGTAAATCCTACTTAATCCCTTACCCTCCCTAACAATGGGGCCTGCGCGCTCAAGCGCAATTATCCCAACCCTCCATGACTATGCGCAACAGCCCCTGTGACCCCGCTATTCATGCTGTCCCGTGCCTCCCCTGCTCGCCCCGTCGACCCGTGGGAGTGTGTGTGGGGGGAAATGCGCCTCAACCGCGGTGGCCGAATGCCCCACGCCACGACCTACCATATTAAGGCCGGCCGCAGCGCCGCGGTGCCACGTAGCACGGGGAGGTCATCCAATTCCCTGATCGCCGGAAACCGTGAGAATTAATCCCGATAAGGGCCTCTCGGATAAAAACCGGTCGATCAGGTGACCTTCCCTTCCAGCTCTATGGGGGGGGGAATGCGTGCGGGTGTGTGCTTATGTGGGGCGGGTGATGGGGGGCAGTGCGGTGGGGGAAGCCGGGCGGCTCCCTGGTTCGGCAGAGCGGCCCCGTCGTTGTGGCACCACATAGCCCCCCGGGGTGCCAGTCCCCGTCCCGGGTTGACTGGAGCACCTCGCCTGGGTTGCCCCCACGAGGTATCGCCGCGGGGTCCGCGGGATTCGCCCGGCCCTTGTGGCTGGCCTCGGGGGTGGCGGCTCCGTCTCCTGGGGCTCCGGCGGTGGTCTCCTCCTCCATTCCAACGGCTCCCCTCGGCCTCTGGCACCTGCGGG